GTACTTGGTATGTAGACCTGGTACTTTCGTCTCCATGACAAATAAGGCGAAAGTGATTTACAAACTCATGTGGACTCAGACAAAAGCAAGAAAGCAGTTAGAGGAGAGACCTCATCAGCAAAATTGACAGATTATTATTTAGTAAAACCAGGCAGCATATCAGAGGATGCTTTTGCTGCAGCATGTATAACACATATAACATTAATACAACGCGAGTGAAAGATTCTCGTACAAATTCCCCCCCCCCACCTCTCTCTCGGCGGAGTATCCTCTTAAGCTTTATGTTCAAATATGGTAACCCAAGCTCTATGCCAAACGCAACCACTCGCACCCAACACAGACGGTGACCAATTTTTTATCACTGGGTATTTAAGATTTGTCTCCATCAAAGCTGTCAACTTTTAATATCATTTATTTACAGTACCGCTGCCAACTAATACGGTGAGTGGGTTCTGGACCACACAACATATTTCATCATCTGTTGAGATAAATGAAGAGCAAAGGACTGAATTACCTGACCTTGAAGGGTAACATTCATATATCTACTATTATCAGAGCTAAAAATACCTTAATAGTTCATGAATGATAACAGCATTAGCAGAGTTACAAGTTTCCTCACCATCAAAAACTTACCAAATGCATATAATGACTTCCACTGTGCCATGAGAATGAACAAATGATTTATACGGCGCGTGTAGCAGCGGCTCGTGACGACTGCCAGACCATAATGGTATAAATGAGCTGTGACAACTGTGACAAGCCAAGGGGAGGTTGCCACACAGTCAATTACCAGACTCGTGTTTTACCACAGTGAGTGTCGTGAAGACTTCTCCGATACACTGATCTAATCCTGTATTATTTTTACTTCATTGAACTGCAAATGTGTGGTCTTACAATCTGCCCAGTAAACACCTCAAAGCTTCTTAACTTAATCTGTCCCTCTGCTGGTCGGTCTCTTTCTAGGTCTTTTCTTATCTCGTGGACCCAGTTGAGGGCCCACTGTTGGTCTATTATTCTTAAGTATGACCAGCCACTGACCCTTACAATGATATCTCCTACTTTATTTTGAGATCTTGCCCATTCGTTCCCTTCACTATATCTAAAATACATCATACCGAGTCTTAGAAATTTAGTAACACTTTTATGTTAATGTAAGGTGATCCTCACCCATTATCAACAATGGGAAAACGTTTTTTTCTCATTACACAATGATTTGTTGCTTCTGAATAAAATGACTTTGAGACACCTCGTATAATCCAAGTTCACTCCTCGTTATTATCAATGAACTGATATTTACGCTAAATAGAGATGATAGAGAAATAGCGACAATTCAAAAAAATGTTCTTTTTTTCGCAAATTCAAACTGGTCTGGTTCTTAATTTCCCTGAATAACTTGGCATCGTCCACAAACATTTGTACGGGAGTATTTTTATTTTTATTTTACTTTTTTTTTTACGGGGATTTGCCCACCCGGGCACCGGTCACTGACCCACATCAAGGCCAGGGGGCGACATTATTATTATTATTATTATTATTATTATTATTATTATTATTATTACAAATAAAAAATTAAATGAAAAAATTTTAAATAAAATAATAATAAAGTAATAACCATAAATAAAAACAAGGACGAAAAAATAAATCAAGAATGAGAAACGATATACAATACGCATGTTGTGTTGTCAAAGTCAGAGAAACAATTGAGACCCAGCAAATGTGTGTAAATGAGGCAGAAAGGCAGATCAGCAACCTGGGACTTCGTCACAATTTTTGTGAGTCTATACGGCAGCAGGGACTACCAATAGACAACACATTATGCTTCCAATATCTTCCCAAACGGTAGTACCCCCCTGTTTGATAGCTGCCTACTGCCTATGAAATAAACAAACAACGGGCCCAGCACATGGCCCTGTGGTACACCCGCTTGTCACAGGTACACATGACGATATTGTGCCATTAATCACCACACACTGCATGCGATCATGAAGAAGGTCCCCAATCCACACTAGGACACTTCCCCGAATCCCGTACCCTTCCAGTTTAATTCTCAGCCTTTCATGGAGTAGCTTACATTGTCTAAAACCTCCGTAAGAAACTGGAGGGATGTCTCAAAGGAAGAACCATACAACTAAGAGACTTCCTCCTCGTTCCAGGAAGGATTTTCCAAGATCCGACTGAATCCAGATTCGGTCCCATATTGCGAAAAGAACAATGAAATGACTTTTGTATATCATGACACACTCTGGACCCGACCTTTGGTAATCCCAAGAAACAGTGGAAATTATGGCAGTTCTAAGAAGATGCACAATGCTGTGTTGGAAGTAGTAGGCAGCTACCAAACAGGGAGGTACTACCGCCTGGGAAGATATTGAAAGCATAATGTATTGTCTAATGGTAGACCCTGCTGCCATATGGCATCACAAAAATTGTGACCAAGTCCCGGGTTGCTGATCTGACTTTCTGCCTCATTTACACGCAATTGCAGTCTCAATTGTTTCTCTTACTATTGACAACACAACATACTGAAGTATATTTCTCACTTTTGATCTTTTTTTTCTTTTTTCTTTTTTATGGTTCTTTATTATTATTATTATTATTAATTGTTTTATTATTACTACAATGTTATTATTATCATTATTATTATTTTTTTTTTGTTATAAATTTTATTTACTATGTATTATTATTAATATTATTATTATTACATTTGCGCTGCCCCAGGCCCCGATGTGGGTCAGTGACCTGTGCCTGGTGGGCATATCCTATGTAAAAAAAAAAAAAATGTACTAATGGCGTAAAGAAATTCAAAGTTCCAGACGTTGATTGAGTTAATGATATACGCAAGTTACTATCTACGAAATCACCTGATAAAGAAAATTTCCCTTGTGACTTGATATAACAAACATGACAATGATGTTCAACAAGGAAGTTACCCGCGACTTGCTCAGTTAACAGATCCGTAAAACTCCCGATAAAATACAAAAACAATATCAGATTTAAAAAACTGACTTGAACATACCTGAAGTGTGATATGTTGCGGTGTGTTACGGTCCCTCGAGGAGCTGTTAACTTTCACATACCTGGAAAAAAAATCAGATTAACCTTCCATCCTGCTTTACTCCTATAAAATTTTTGTAAATGTTAAGAAGAAAGTTGCCACTTATACTGCAATATATATATTGGCAAGATCTCAAGAATGCGTTTGTTCTAAAGTAAAAATATGTATTAGGTGGGAGAGGATTAAATAATGACTATAAACTTACAGTGGTACCTTTAGAAATGTATGACATTTTCTCTAAATTGAGTGATGGATGTCATATCCACATCCGCAAAATTTACCACATCTACACCTGCATCTAGAAAATGCTGATTTGTAGAGCTTTGGATTTTTATTTGTTAAATATAAATAATTGTATAATACATAAATATTTTATTCCACACACTGGATAACAACACCCATAGCCCCCAAGGCTACTGGGGCTAGATTTCAGCATTGATAATCTATTTATGTCTTCCCGTTCCACCTATTTGACATATTTTTCCACCAAAGATGGGAGAGGGGTCAGATGGTGGAAAGGGGTAGAGGGTGCTAGGGGCGAGGGATCAACAGAATGAAAGTAGCAATAGGTGCATCATCTTATCACTTGCACAACTCCTTCACTCTATCTCTGGTCCACTGAGATGATGGAGGGTCACTCACGTGGCCCACTGAGAAGATGGAAGGTAAATTATGTGACCTCACAGTCCCAGGCCTTGAAGGCAATCGAGGGTTTGACCCCTGTCAAGGGAGCATCCATGGCAAGGTCTTGGAGCCTGACGGGAAACATGAGTACCGTTGAGGACAAAGGGTGACTTGACTCGAACCTGGTTGGGAAGCTGGGGCTCGGGAGTCTAGTCTCACCAGAAGAAAAGGACAACCTACAGAAAAGGTGGCAGAGTCAAGGGGGATCCGCAGATGCTCTGTAAGTTCCCAAGGTCAAGCTGCTCTGCATCGAAGGGAGCGACCCACCAAAATCTGGGCGCAGCTGGAGTTTTCAAGCAGAACATTGGAGAATATCAAGCGGCATTGCAGCCGGGTCTGCTGATACAGCAGTACTGCAGAGGTGAAGTTCAGGAGCTGATCGAGATCTGTTACTACAGGGACACCGATGAAGGATAATAATGATCCTGGCAGTTCCTGCAGCAGTACTAAGGGATCCAAGAAGCATCGCCGAGCAGTGGTTGGAGAAGCTGAACGGTGGGGCCTGCTGTTGGCCAAGACAACCAGGAGGGTATGCAAGACATTGTGCCTTCATGTGTGGCAGTCAGCTTGGAATGAGAGCTGAACTCTTGCCTGGATTTGGAAGGGGGGGTGGCCAGGCTGCCGCTTGAGTATCATTGGAGGTCCTGGGTTGTGGCCAAGAAGGGAGCCGCCAGCCGACATATGTGAGCTGACAATGGCAATGGGGAGGCGAAGGCGTCTCCAGTAGAAGTAGACCCATGCTGGTAGTACAAAGGGATGTGCCTGCTGTCAAGCTGCAGCAAGTTTAGGAGATAGATTTTTCCACATCATGTCAACTTGTCCAAGTTATTAGGTATGTAAGTATTTAAGTAACTTTGTCTGAAAAACATTTACAAGTATTTTATTTAATTCTACTGTGCTTAACCCTTAAGCCCCGGGTTAGGGTGCTGCGGGCAGTAACCCCCCACCCACAGGGTTAAATCGAGAAAAAAAATCCCAAAAATAATAACAAAAAAAAGGCGGGAAAATAGGCGAACGTTCTGGAACGTCACCCGGGGCGCACTAGTCAGACGTTCTGGAACGTCACCTGGGGCCTAAGGGCTGACTATATTTACACATTGCGTTACTTTTCATAACAAGGTCTGCTGCTAGAGTATACTGTATATTTACTTTTTATCCTTGGTAAATGTTCAAATAGGAGTGCATATGTAAATTTTTACCCAATGCAGTGGAATAAATTTAATCTGTGTGAGTACTATACATAGTTGTGTCACTCCTGCAGGTGAGAGGGATGGCAGGTGTGGTGACGAGCCTCAAGATCAACACCAAGATTGAGCACCGTTACGCCATCACACAAGTTACCTCCGCCATGAGAAATCCCCTACCACAGTCAGCCGAGCTACAGTACCAGTTGATGCTGCCCAAAAATGCTCTCATATCTTCATTTATCATGTAAGATTATATTAGTTAGTGAGCTTTATTGCGGTTAATATTTGGAAGTTGCCATGTATGGAAATTACTATGGAAAATAGGTTTTTATATTGTCTTTCATTGTATTTCATATGTATTTGACCTTCATTTCCATTGGAAATGAGTAGTTATGGAGATATGACCCAATTACCAACATTGTGGGATAAAAACATGCAAAAATGACTCAAATATCTGTATACAGTACATACTTTTACTTTTTTTTTACTTTTATCCTCTTCGCCACTGATCGGCTTGTTAGCCGCTTGGGCGATCGGTCACGTCTCTGATTACTTTTCCTTTTCATTTATCTTCTCCACCAAAAGATCGGCTCGCTAGCCGCCCGGGCGATCTGTCACGTCTCTGTCACGCACTGTTGGCAAATACTGGGCATGCACCAGCTCCTGAATGTACCTGAACCCGCTCCAGTGTTGGTCAAGTCTTGTCTTGAAAGAGCTCACACTCAGGGCCGTCACAACACTCTCTGATAGATTGTTCCAAGAGTTTACAACCCTCACTCAGAAAAAGTTTGCCCTCACGGTTTTCTGGACTTACGGCTTCTTCAATCTTGAGCTGTGACCCCTTGTGGGGCAAGCGTCCGCCAGCTCCAAGTAAGGACACTCAACTGAGTAGTGCCCCCTGAGATGCTTATACACCTCAACTAGGTCCCCCCTTGCCCGTCTGTAGTATAAGCTAGGCAAGTTCAGGCGCTCCAATCTCTCAGGGTAGCTGAGGTGCCGAAGGGCAGGCACCAGTCTGGTGGCCCTCCTTGGAACATTTTCAACCAACTGACAGTCCCTAGCATATCTCGGGGACCAGATGGGGTGACAGTACTCCAGATGGGGAAGCACTTCACTCCTGAAGATCGTTACGAGGGATGGACCGTCTAGATATCTGAACGACCTTCTTATAAGACCCAATAATTTATTTGCCTGATTTACCTTTTTCTCACAATGGCCCAAGAACTTCAGCTCATTGTCAACATACACACCTAGGTCCTTCTCACACACAGTCTCAACTAGTGCAGTTTCTTCATCCCGTTGGGACATATGATATGCCTCCTTACCGTTGGTACGCCCCAGGTGCATCCTCTTACACTTCGTGACATTGAATCTCAGCAGCCATTTCTTCGACCATTCCTGGAGCCCACAGAGGTCCTTCTGCAGCTCTTCACAGTCCGCTTGGTTTTTAATTTCCCGAAATAACTTGGCATCATCGGCAAACATTTACATGGAGGAGTGTACAACGTCAGGCATGTCACTTATGAAACAAACAAACAACAGCGAGCCCAATACACTGCCCTGTGGTACATGTCGAACTTAACCTAACCAGAGAAACCAGAAGAACCTGACCTAACCTCCCATCCAGGGGGGGCTCTGCCCTCTGGACCCCCCAATGTGTAAACTTAACCTAAACTTACCTTAAATAACATATAGAAGAGGATCTTGACAATATAGTACAGACAGTCTAAATCACACCTTGGACACTAGACTGAATCAAGGACAACACCATGAGAGCTAAAGATTTTAACAGCTGTGGCTTTGTTCTCAAATACTGTACTCATTGACTTACACGCCAATCTCCCAAGGAGCAACCTTCACAGAGAGACGCCATCTTGCAACTATGTAATTCAAATTCTAAAGCTTGCACATGCTCATGAGTATCACATGACATTGAAACTTCTGCTGATTGGTTGAGTAAGAAGTAAACAATGTACCAATATATCCTCTCTAACTTTTACTTTCTTTAAATGAAATAGAAAAGTCGAAATAATTTGAAAATTATAAATTTCCGACAGAAACACTATAGATTAAAGTACATTAGTTTTTTTGCTCTATCTCCCTATACAGTACAAGAATCAATATAGAGTTCTGTGCATGGCAACTACCGAATATTAACCTTTATTGCTTGTTAGGGGTTATCCTCACCATGTGCAGTACAGTATTTGTGTTATGGTGCCTCAAGCACTAACTGGTGTAATAGTCAATATGCTTACCTTGCAAGCGAGTGGACCTGGGTTCGATCCCCATAGTGATTGAAACTTCGAGCAAACTTCATTACACCATTTGTCCCTGTCTACCTAGCAGTAATTAAGAACCTAGATGTTAATTGATTTGCTGTACAAGTTCCGGGGTAATAGCTAGCCAGTGCAGCTGGCGAATTGTCCGGTCTTCTCGGATTATTTCTTGACACTGGGTTATACAACTCATTAACTTAGGGTCTAGTTGTGTTGCCTACAGTTTCTACAACTTCTACAAATTCATGCCTCGGTGGCCCTAGGGCCAGCCACCCTTGAACACAAAGGGCAATTTACCATTATTATTGTAGCACTTAAGGCATTCCTTCAAATCAGACCCATATAAGATAGTACTCTCATTGTTAATCAGTATGAATTATTATATCAAGGGTGGGTCCAGGGGATGGGTCCTGGGAAAACAGGACCCCTCCCCTTTTCATCAGAAAATGGCAAAAATTTTCTTTAATGCAGTATTGTACTCAGGCATTTTTGTATCGTAAAAAATAATTACTATTGACCTCAACATATCTCTTAATACCAAGTGCACGTGGCTTCAAACTTGCCTCAAAATGCCCGTGATATTGATCAAATTTCAAATAAAATTCTGGGGTGCCTTGCAGCGCACCCCCAAAATTTCCCAGCCGTGCTTGTCATGTTCTCCCACCCACAGCTTCGTAGACCCCCTCTTTTGATATTCCTGGATCCGCCCTTGTATATGGTATGTATACATACATCTCTTTTGACATGTACTGTAACTCATATATTTGACTATGTTACTCAGTTTCGTATTAATACAGTAATGCTCAAGTGATATGAGCTATGACTACAGTGAGTGAGGTGCTGGTGTGTTTGTGTGCAGGGAGGTGTCAGGCGCCAACTACACAGGCATCATCAGGGAGAAGTCAGTATCCAGGAGAATCTATGAGATGGCCAAGAAGGTGGGCAAGACAACGGGCCTGCTGGAGCACAAGTAAGTATATGGATGTCATTGTCTGATGCAGGATTTTTCATTTAGGGGGATTAGGAAGGGGCACCCACGTCAAAAAATCCAAGTAATAGAAAGGTAATTAATGACGAGCAAATAGTAATATTTAACTTTAGCTTCTCTTTTATTTATTAGATTTAATATCAACCTTGTATCTGCCAGTGTCTATATACTGTATATCTAGTAAAAAATTTAAACTAAGGCCTGTAATTGTAAGCATCCTGTATAGAGGGGTTCCATCACTGAGAAAAATACAAATCTAAAATGTGCAGCATTAAATAAGCTTTTTAAAACCACCAAATGTAATATTCACTGACACTGTAACACCTACCCTATACTGTATATACCCTGTATATCTCAGTACAAGGCACAATTGAATAATATGAATACTGTACCATCTGATGTACTGTACCTCAAAATGTAAGGAAAAATACTGCACAGTAAACACTTTAACATTACTTTAAATGTAATGAATCTCCTCATTTCAAACATTTTTTGACATAAAATATACTGTAATTTGTAATATGTCACATAACATTTCTAATATGCCTTCTAACCTAGTAACATGTTTATAATATAGTATGCCTCATAGCATCTATGGTATATAATGACTCCATATGGTTGCAAAATGCCTCATGACATTTTTAATATGCCATGTAACATAGAGCAAAGCATTGTGTAAAAAAATAAAAAAATAAAAAAATAAATTACAGTACAGTAGATGCCTCCCTATTCCCATCCTATTCAAGAGAGGATGATGATTCACCCTGCGTACCCAAGGTGGAGTGTGTTTACATGAGGCTTATTAACACTTAAGTTCCTATTCTCATGTTTACTTTAGGGTAAGGCAGGCCCCCACCTCATCCCCTACCTCATGATGTCAATACTTTGTACACAGCTTTTACTGATGAACTCTCTTGGGAATGCACCTGAGCAAATATTTATCTTTTTTCTTTACATGAACAATTATACCAAAGATGTAATTTTAAATATTTAGAACATCTTTCTTAAACTATTGTTGCCATGATGTGAGAGCTCACTTAGAAGCCATTTTTAGAATTACTTACATTGAGACTATATTTTGTCTTGTTTATATGGTATGGATGTTGTGGATATACTGTACTGCATGTTGATAGGGACAATTATGTGAAAGCTTATGGATGAGTAGTTTAATCATGGGGCCAACTTACTGTCACAGTACTGTACCTGTAATAAATATTCATAATCATTTACAGTATTACCTGACTTAGAACTTCCAAAAATTGGAATGGTGGCCCAGATCAAAATAAATTGGAGTTATGTTGATGTATTGGGTCATTATTATGCATTCCCTTTTTATTTCACATAATCAAGCTCACCAATAGAGAACTAATTATCACTTTTACTTGTGAAAAAAAAGAAGTGAAGGAAATTGTTGTTTTCCTTTTATTGGTAAGTCCTGGAAGTATACAGTACAGTGCAGTGCAGTAATTACAATATTTCATGATCTGAAAAGCATAAGAAAGTAGATAATAAAATAAACAGATAAGGAAACAAAGGTTCATGGAAATATAACAAATCAAGAAAGAGAAAGTGATACAAATTGAGGGGGAAACAGATACCCGGTAATGTTGGAAAGTAAATCCAAATTTTTTAAAGAAATACTGTAACAGAAAAAAATGAGAATGATGTAGGAAAGAGGTGCAAACAAAAATACAGATACTGTATCATGGAGAGACAGATGAACAATACAATAAACTGACTCAAGCTGAGTAAATCTTCATCTTGAAGTGCCCAAGACAAGAGCAGTCTGAGGACAACATGTGCCCAAAAGTGAGATTATATAAGTACAGTACAGAACAAAAAACAAATTCTTAAAGACATTAATGTTTTTAGCAAAATAAATTGTGCAGTACATTTCTATATTGTACTTTTGGATACCATGAAGTAGGTTGCTTTTGTAAATATTGAGTTAATTAATTTGTAATTGTAAAATATAAAACTAAAACTGCAAGAATATGTCATTGGTACAGTATATTGTTATTACAACCGGAAGTCAGAGCTCCTATCCATGTTTTGTTCTCATGACAGGGATGATGCTATCCAGAAATTTGAGGCAAGCATAAATATGGTTTCTCATGGAACAGTCACCTTTCATATCACTTATGAGGAGTTGGTGCATCGTGTAGATGGTAGCTACTTGTACTCTGTTCACATACACCCAGGACATGTGAGTATATCTTACCTTTACTGTAGTAAGTTTAGGTTTCTTAAGTTTATATAATAGTATAAACAATAATGTTAAATGGAAATGCTCCAGATATTACTTTAAAACAGAAGACTGTATACTGTACAGGTACTGTATACTGTTTAACACTTTACAACCACCAACTTGTACCTGTACTGTTTTATAAGATATTGCTGTAATGTATACAGTACTTAATAATAAAAAATTAATAATATTTATTTAAAAAAATCATCTTACAAATTTACAGTATACAGTATGTATGTATATACAGGTACAAGTAATATCTCCGTTAGCCAGGATCCCTCTTAGCCGAAACTCTCCGATAGCCGGAATTTTTCTGTAAAGTTCCAAGTTTGGGAACGATTTTCCAAGGAATGCATTTTTTAGAAAATTCTGACAAAAATTCCTGAAACTCTCCTCTTAAAAGAGTTCAGGGTCTGGGAACAAATTCAGAGGATAAAAATCAGGGTCATTTTCCAGAAATTCTAATAAAAATTTCCCAGGTATGCAATTTCGAATGCAGCTAGATGGTGCAGGTATACAAAAAGGTTACAACAATAGTAAACAATTAGGCAATTTGACAAGGGCATTCGTGAAAGCCATTAGATGCTTATTTCCAGCAGGGTCCCTTACTTTATACTCAATTGTCTTTGCCACTGATCGCCCTGTTAGCTGCTTCTAATTGGACATCAAATTCACAGTTTGATGAACCCTTTTAAAACGTCTCCTTAGTTATCACAATTATAGTTCATCAATAAAATAAAACCATAAATTGTAGAAATATACAGTACACTGTATCTTAAATAACTTCTCAGCAAGCAAAAAGTATTGACTTTTATTTCTGGAAATGACCATTGCCCATATCGATCATATGTTTACTATTTTCTGCTAGTGATGGAATGATATTGTTTCATAAAAGTAATTGTGTGATTTTCAGCGAATTCCTTCAGCAGAGATTGACGTCCATATTATGGAGAGAGAAGCAATCATTGATTACAAGTTTCTGGAGCTGCCTGGTCAAGAAATGTTTTCCCACAACCCTGGAACAAGTGGTAGGTTTACGCAGCTGATGCAATTGTGTTTCAGTGTAAGCAATAGGTGATTGGTGATGTAACAGCAATGACAACATCAGCATTTCCACAACAAATCTTGCAAATTTGGCTTCAGAATCTTTCACAACAAAATTAAATAAAAAGGTTTTAGATATGTAGGCATCAGACAAGTTGATTATTTGAGTACAGCCATCCCTTAATATATGATCTATCACCTTACAATTCTTCAGTTCACAAATTCAATTTTTAACACTTTTTTTTTTGCTGTACGTTGCCACCTGTTAAGTACGATTACATCATCGCTGTCATGATCGCTGTGTTTATGGACTGCAATTGACAGTCATAGTCAGTTTGTGGTGTTATTTTTATTTAACATTTATTTTACCAATTTTATGATATACGTATGTACTTTATTGTGGTGTTGAGGTGCTTTATTATCATGATACTGTGGTGTGGAGGTGCTTATCATATTTTCGGGGCCTATTTGGGTGAAAAACCCCCCTTAGACTGACTCCTGGAAAGTACCTGTATCCCCACTGACACCATGCTAAAACATGTTCAATATATGATCATTCACTTGACGATCAGGTTTTCAGGAATGCATTTCAGTCATATATCAAGAGATACCTATATTTACTAAATTTTAAATTAATTATTTTTTCTATAAATTTACAGTTATTTATGAGAGAACTTTTTAATAATTCCTAAGTTAGTAAATTTTATCATATATAAGATTTGTTTGTGAAGGATTGTTTATGTTGCAGTTAGTCCTCAAATAGAAATATCAGAATATTTTTTCATTGACAGTACAAGGTGGGCCAATGAGCCTCGGGGAACTCCACTTGTGGTACCGACACGAGGATCCACATGACAACTCCGGCAGGGGTATTGATGGTGTCTTCACTTTGTCGTATACTACCACCAATCATACTGATGGTGGGGAAGTACAGGTGATGCTTGAATAAACATGTATAAATTACTGTACATGAGTTTATCCTGTTCTAAATTTATACTGAACTACTGTAGATACGTTAGTTGTCACACAAGGCTATGTTTAAGGGTACATATTATAAATTTAACTTGTAAATTTATTTATAATTTCACAACAGACAGGTTTTGGTTATTAGGTGTTTGGGTAGTTGTTCCGTTTTTTGTTACTTTTCTACATCTTTTATTGTGCATTGTTAGTACAGGAGGAAACTGGAGTACTGTACCCAGAGAAAATATGTGATGTTTGGTAGGGTCACATTGGATAACACCCTTCTCCTATGTCCCAGGCCAGGGATTGAACCCACGACACAGCAGTGAGAGATGCACACATTACTGAACTACTGTACCACCAACATAATAGAAACATTTGGTTTGTAAGAGCATGCCTGCAAATCTCATAGTGTGATGCAGACCATCTTGTGCAGAGCTGGATTATCCAAGTGTTTGTGTTTTGTGTATTAAGGTCAACAATACTCATAGAAGGAAAGTTTTCACAGACATAATACCAAGCCAAGTTGGAATCAAATATGTAAATCAAGTGATTGCCAAAGTGCACTGAATGAGGAACATTTGTATACAGTAGTTAATGGAGAAAACTCTAAAAATGTGACCAGAAAAATAAGATATTAACTGACAGTGCTCTCATGGTAAATATACTACAGTACTGTATACTTTACTGTAGAAAAATAATATTTCCCAATACCTGTACAGAATATCATTGTAATAGGCTGTCAAAATTCTAGATTATAATTGAACTCTATTGGTATCCTAAATGTCAATGATTCTATGCTGTAATTTCACTATACTGTACGGACTGTATTATTGTAGGAGTGACTCACCAACAACATTTGTATCTTCTTACAGCGTGTGGGCAATTACTTTGCACACTATTTTTCCCCCGAAGGTTTGCTAAAAATGCCAACCCACACAGTGTTCCTAATTGATGTGTCCTACTCTATGAACGATGGCAAGTTGGACAGCCTTAAGTCTGCCCTAATACCTATTCTTAGAGGAATGAATTCAGAAGACACATTTGAGGTAAGTTTAATGGATATGTCCATATAGAAGGTGCTTCTCCATATCTTATATAATAGAAGAGATTAGTTTTAATAGTGATATTAATAAAAAACACAGTAAAAGCCTTCACAAAAATTCTCTTAAGTACCACCTCATTACGTATTGTGTATTTACTCTGAGAAGAGACAGCCCTTAACCCATTTTCACGGCCTGAGTCTTTGTGGAATACTGTATGTCCTTGAGGAAAACAAAATAATTGAGTAATCTATGGACTGAAATAACTGTGTCAAAGGAGTCAGGCATGGGGAATAGTTGGGCTGAAAAGAATTTTTGTTTGGGTGTGCAGTATAGAATGGACTGGATACAAGTGGAAGGAGCAAATAAGATGCAACTGCCATGATTTGTCTGAGAACAACAAATTTGCATGTACTTATTTTCTTATCTTCTTGAAGAAATGGGGTGCAGAGTAAGAAATACAGAAATAAGGAGACATGGAAGTGACTTGGGTGTTCATTTTACATTTATATCTGTATCCAAGTCACATGAAGATTAGCCCCCAGCATAATTCAACTGATGATTAACCCTTTGAAGGCAGTGATGGCTTTAGGTAGCTTAATCTTAAGGTGAAATAAGCTGGTGGCTATTCTTTATGTGAGACCTTTATCCTACATAGAGTCGTCAGATACTGTAATCAAAAGTGTCCCTTTCCCAACAAAAGTATGTATCAGTGGTGTAATTAATAACCACGAAAGTTCATTTATCATCACCCAGTTCTCTTTTCACAGCTGCTGGCCTTCTCCTCAGATGTGGTGAATGTAGGGTCATTCAATGGTCGGCATAAGCAAATCAAGAATGCTATACGTAAAGTGAGACGTTTGGTATCCATGGGATACTCCAATCTCAATGCTGCAATTCTCCAAGCGATCAGAACCACCAACAACTTTAATGCTCATCAAGCTGTTAAGCAGGTAGCAGGGTATACCGGATCCTGTGTTGTCATGTACTGTACATATAACAGCTCTGTAGTTTTATTTATTAGATACTCATAGTTTTCATGTAAAGTACTGTTCATAATGACAGTAAGACTACGTTCTTATAAAGCTTTTCTACACTCTTGATAATACACTCATCTCCCATCGTTACTGGCAGATAGTAATCTTCACGGATGGGCAGAGCAACAATGGGGTGGTGAATCCAGAAATCATCCGTAAAAATGTGCGTGAAGCCAACACATACAGATGTCCCATATTTAGCTTTGTGTTTGGCAGTGCTGACTTGAAGTAAGTCTTTGATCATTTATTTGCTGTATTAAACAGTAACATGTATGGTATGTTATGGTAGCTGTTTAGCATTTATTTTAGATAAGAACTTAATACTGTATAAGTAAAAAAAATCATACTGAGTTTCTGGAATGAAAAATGACTTCTGTCCCAAATTCTGATGTTGAATTATTTTCAGATTGCTTACACATATAAGTGAAGACAACGTAGGCATTGCCTACTACTTGAACTATAATTCTGACCAAGCAGCACAGATTAAGGACTTCTATAAGCAGATATCCAAGCCATTGATATCAGGAGTGGATATTAATTACCCAGAGACTAATGTTGATCCAACTACCATAGTGAAGCCAGGACTGTCCAACTACTACTCAGGGGGGGAGGTATCTATTTTTTCCAGTTTTAGTATTTCATTACTGTATTATACTAATGTCAGGGCTCAGTGTTTACTGAACTCCCTGTTCCTAAGAGTTCTCCATTGAGTGTATTTTATTAATATCTCTTTTTGTATCTGGTTAAAATAAAATGAAAATGATGATGAAGCAGAGGTACAGTACCCAGTAATGAAGTAGTAGTACTGGTACATCTTTACTTTGCTTAGGTAACTTTCTGAAGGATTACAATAGTACTTAAAAGTACTTAACATTTTTGCACTTGAGTAATTTATCAGCAAAAGTAAGGTACTTTTATGTCATTTTTATACAAGTCTTCTTGTTACATTAAATTGAAAGTACCTATCATGAGCTGAATTTGGATAAACCATTCAGAACATTCTCACAAAGATGCATGATATATCCCATCCAATCATAATATCGCAGTACTTTCCCACCGGTTTCTTCATCCATTCTTACAGTGTTGGTGACGCTGTGCAAATTTCCCATCAATAAAGAACACAATTAAGAATGACCTCATTGTCTTGAGTCTGAATGGTGAGGTGGGATCAGTTTAACCTTACTTTTGACTAAACAACATGAAGTGCAGTCACAATCCTGGTGTTGGCTAAGGTTGATCGCTGGGCCCTTCTAAGTGTGGGGCCCGGGGCACTCTCCCCACTTATTTTCTACCTTAAGGATGGGCCTGCATGCACAGGATGTGAGTGTTGTCAATAACCACTGAATCTAAGAGTGGCCTATAAATACACCTATCTCCCCATACTCATGAACTTCATACAGTATGGATATGTGTGTGTGTGAAGAATGTTTGATATGTGCAAAAATGAACGTGTTGATAAATCATTGCTTCATCTTCTCTACCCTATACACTTTTGATTTCCCATACACTGGTTTTGACTCACTTAGCTCTAGTTAGTAACATTATTTCCCTGCTTAGTGTTTTAATTTATTGGCCATAACCTTGGGCTATGTCTAGCTGTAATGAAAATTGTACCACTCTGCTGTACTGTACTGTACTTGCAGTTACTGGTTTTCACATTTCTGTTAATACTCATTTATTCATATTTACTTCGTCCAGTTGGTGTTTGCTGGGTTATTGAGACCAGGAGCAACTGGGGTTAACCCCATAGTGAGTGGTGTGGGGAGGGACGGCCCCTACCAGTTTCCAGTGACCCGACTTGATTCACGGCAGCCATTCCATACTTCCTTGAGAGAGAACTTTACAGCAAGATTGTGGGCATACCTCATTGTCCAGGTGAGAAAAATTATATTGTCTTTCTTCTGTTATTAGATAGTGTCATGTTAGAAGAGGTTGGATTTTGGTTATTCTCCTTGAAGACATAAAATGTTGTAGGGATTTTCTTCTAGGTATAGCTGTAAAATGGATTAAGGATCTATGGCTATTTTCATTATAACAGAACTTACAGGTGTGTAATGAATTAAAGAGATTCCGGCTAATGGGGATATTACTGTATATCTACACAACCTACTCACCAAAATCCACTTAGTCCACAATGCAATACTACAACTCATATACAGTACACTACTCACTACATGTTCAATATTTATCCAACACAGATAATCCCTCAACACAAATTCGACACAAGATTCTTGGAAACTACTAACAGTTGTTTTGAAATACCTGAAGTCCATTGGCTTCATACCCAAGTAAAGAAGGGGCTACAAAACAGCAACAATCTATGGTTTAGACAACTCAGTATATTAATATTTCCTCCTACAGGACCTGCTGGCCAGAGCTGACTTATCAGAAAACGTGACTGAAACCCAACAATTCCATGCCCAAGCCCTGCAGATTGCTCTTAGAGTAAGTCTCAAATTGCAATAATTTTTTGTGAAAATGTGAAATGACGGTTTGAAAATTTTCCTTTTATAACAGAGATCTCTAGTCATTGTCAACAGAGCATAACAAGGACATTTACTTTTATCCTCTTCGCCACTGATCGGCTAGTTAGTCGCTTGGGCGATCGGTCACGTCTCTGATTACTTTTCCTTTTCATTTATCTTCTTCACCAAAAGATCGGCTCGCTAGCCGCCCGGGCGATCTGTCACGTCTCTGTCACGCACTGTTGGCAAATACTGGGCATGCACCGGCTCCTGAATGTACCTGAACCCGCTCCAGTGTTGGTCAAGTCTTGTCTTGAAAGAGCTCGCACTTAGTGCGGTCACAAAACTTTCTGGTAGATTGTTCCAAGAGTTTACAACCCTCACTCCGAAAAAGTTTGCCCTCACAGTTTTCTGGACTTGCGGCTTCTTCAATCTTGAGCTGTGACCCCTTGTGGGGCGAGCGTCCGCCAGCTCCAAGTAAGGACACTCGACTGAGTAGTGCCCCCTGAGATGCTTATACACCTCAAGTAGATCACCCTTCGCCCGTCTGCAATATAAGCTAATTATTTTACCGTGATTACTTTTCAGCCCAGACCTGAAAAGTACATATCTGGAGTTAGCAAAAGGCCACCCTACTAGAGGTCACTGGGTCAAGTCAAAGAAACTGTCGGTACAGAAAATGGTCAGAGCTAACAGTTTGGAGTAAGATTTCTAAACTCTCAGAATAAGCTGCTGGCAAGTGTTGTACCAAACAATAGAACATATTAAGGTACATTCAAGAGTCCATGCATGGCCAACAGTACTTGCCAGCAGTGGGTAACAGTGAACTGACTGCCACCCAACCAGCTAGTAAGCTGACAAGTGGTGAAAATGATAAAGTAAAGTAAAGGAAAGTACGGTACCTGCAAATTTCACAGTGTGTATCCCAGATAGTGTTTTGATGGTTTGTTAAGAATTGTAATATCTCATTACAGAACTCTAATAAAACTAAAAAAAATGTAGCCATGGCATACAGTACCTTATGTATACATTGTAAGGACCTGTTCAAATACAGTGTTATGTTAATAATGTCATAATTTATTTTCAGTTTGGTTTTGTAACAAGATTAACTTCCTTGGTGGTCGTTTATCCTGATGATGAGTATGTCATAGTCTCCTCCCAAGATGAGCTCCATCATGAAAGGAACTGGCATCATCCTAACAACTATGAATCCTCATTCTCGAGTTTCCGACGACTTGGTCGAAGTAATATACGTGGTAATAAAACAATAATCGGTATGTAATAAAGATGAACAATAAATAAATTCAAAATTCTTGGAGTAAGTAGGATTCTTGGATAGATGAGGCATGAGAATCTCATATTAATTTGAAGATTGCATTGGTAAGGAAAATCTCTTTATTGGTCAAACAGTAGTTATGATTTCATTTGCATTAATTCCTCCTCTTGCAAATTAACTTTCAATTCTTGCTAAAAAATTTTGAATCATAAGTTTTTCTGCTGTATATCTTCCTTACTTTTTGCATGTGTAAATACAGTACAATATGTATTTTCACTAATTACATTAACAAAAAAATATTTTTTCTATGATAACAGTATTCATAATTTACGCAAAATTTATGGAGCTACATTTGCAATAGTAATGGACATTTATAAAAAGTTGTAAAGAAATTCAGGCAGATATGGCACCTTTTATTGAGTTTTCTCTATGTGTAAGAGTGAATATGAAACATAAAAGTATTGATGACTGAAATAGTACTGTAGCGTAAAAACTCCTCAAATCTGGTATCCTCAGAAGCTAGCAGTTGCCAGTTTTTGAAAACTTTTTGTGCAGTTGATGCAGCATTACAGTGGGGGCTACCTGCTGCTCTCTTGGAAGACATTATAAGGATGTACAGTATAAAGTGCAAAATAATGAAAAAAGTCACACCTGAGACATGTTGATGGAAGGAAGAGAGTGACATCATTGTGGGCAAGAAGTTTAATGGAATGTCTGGATTTTATGCTACAGGTTAAACCTCGATTTAACGGCACTAGATTTACCAGCGACTCACATTTAACGGCAGAATTGAGAGATCATGATTTTTTTTTAAGTCCCGCTCATAATATCCAATAGTTTCTTTACCTGCTTCAACGCTCCCATAGCACTGCGGTCAGTTTGTTTTGGCACTGAAGTGCAAACGGTGCTGTGCTCGGGTGGATTACCTTAAATTTCTACTTTCTTTGCATCAATTATGGCCTCTTAAGTGACCTGACAACCCTAATGGAGTTGCTAGTCACCCAAAGAAGAAAAGAATTTTCCTGAACATTGTGCAGACACTGGTGCCAGGTTAATAGTAAAACATTTTTGTTTGCACCCGATTGGTGGGGGGGGCGACATCAGAGCATGATGTAATCTCTAGGAACTCTCAGAAAATTCGTTCCCATGCCCAGAATAAGACAGTTTTTCTGGGAATGCACATGATTCCATCCAAGGAAATTTGTTCCCATGTCTGAAATGGAGAAATTTTTCCGGGATATTTTTCGGAGGCACAAAAATTCATTCCTGCTATTAGACAGTTCCAGGGTTCAAAGATTCTGGCTAACAAGGAGATTATTGTATTTATATGCTTTTGTTATTGATGTTTATATGCATACAATTTTAAGTTTTAATGTTACAGTGTACAGTTAAAACTACTTTTTGGAGTGAATCTAGTGATCTGAACAGTCTTCACAGGCCATGCCAGATAAATGGTCCCACACATGTATAGCAATTGTATATACAGTTTAAGTGTACTTTGTATAATCATTTATTACCTATGGAAGAATCATTTCTGGCTTACGGAAAATTTGACTTACGAATAGCCTCCAAGAACAGAACCCATCCATAACTCGGGGAAAGTCTGTACAGTACCGAATTTTGTAGCTACATCATTGTTAACCAACTGCATAATACAATAAAGTACACATCAGTAACTTCAGATGTGTAGTTCATACAGTGTTGCCATAATAAAAAATAAATAGGCTTACTGTATGTAAATTTAATTAAGACATTTAGATATTGACAACAAAAGAATTATCTGTGGATTATGGAAATACACTATTGACTTAATGTTGATAATAGTGTGAATCCCTCTAAATTGTAACAAATAGTCAAATCAGTGTACTTCTTGTGTGATTTTCCTGTGTGTGGATCATTGGTCAACAAAATATGTGGTGGGCTGCACTCAGAAGCTTGGGTTATGTTTGCTAAGCTTAAGATAAGTAAGCTTATTAAAAAAGGGTATTAATGCATGATCACCTACAGTACTCCTACCATTACCTTCAAGAACCAAAATACTTTCTAATAAATGTGATCTAATTTTGTTTTAGTAGGCGGGTGAAATGTTTTTTTTTACACCCAGTTAACATGTTAGAAGTAGACCTGGTGCTGTATTTGATTGATGTTAGATGTCCATCATTGTTTTGTAATCTTTTGTCAACATCAATACTGTATTAGATTATGTAAAGTACAGTACAGGTACTTGTAAAATTTTAAATATTGTAAAAATAATATTTACTGACAGTTGAATGCTATAACATTTAGAGTAAAGCACTCTGCATGTTGAAAACCCTTTCACTGTACTCACATATACAGTATTCTCCCTAATTCACATTTTGATAAAACTGTGTAAGATTGACTTTTCTGAAAAGTAATCTACTGTACAGTACGTATTTACAAATCAAAATATCTTCAACTAATTTTTTAGCATTAAAACTCAATGGGAAATCCTCATCATATGGACACAAATTAACACACAGAAATCTTCCACAGCTGACTTGGATCCTCACTTCATCGTGTATGCCCAGGGGTTCAACCTACCACTCTGCTTTAACTTCCATGGCCACAATGGAGCCTACATGAACCTCATCAGGGATCCTCAGTCTGGTGAGTACAGTACAGTATTTGCAGCAAAAATTCTCTGATCTCAGACTTAATAATGTCAATTCCAGTAATCCAGTCTAATTCTAAAATTTAATTCCATCTGTCTAACCTTGTTTATCATGAAGGAGGCTAGTAGTTATCCTTATAAAATATAAAATATTTAGACGAGAGGCTGATTATTATTCTTATAATATGTCTGAATGTAAAATGGGTTTGATATACAGTATAGTCTCGATTTACGAGGATTTCCTTTACGTGGTTCGTCATTTACGCGGCACCTGGCAAGACCGGCAATTATTAGTTATGCGGTACATTCCATCATTTACGCGGGAAGCGGCGCAGGCAGGGTGCGCACTAGGTCTCCCAGGCAACAAAACATTACCGAGTTCTTCACCCACCACCCACCACAGCCAGCCCAATTCAGTGATAGTGATAGTAAGGATATGGACTTTGAGGGGTTTGACAAAGAGGCCCTGCAAGCCTCTGTGGTGGATAGTGATACAGGTGATACAAGTGATACAGGTGAGGGGCAATAATCTGCCCTCTGCCTCGGAACCAACCCCCCATCCCGGTGTGCCCAGCCATCTCTTCTACTAAGGTAAGTGTTAAAAAACCTAATATTATTGATATTTCTCTTAAATATTAATTGTGTGTGCATACCATCATAAAATTAAGATGTTATTTTTACTACAACGTACGTATTGTGTCGGAAAAAGGGTAGTCTGGGGGTCGGCCCAGTCTCTATTTCAATTAATCCCATATGTTCTGTTATTTCGTTTACACGTTTCTCGTTTTACGCGGACCTCCACGGGTTTAATTGACCGCATAAACCGAGACTATATAGTGTACTCTTGTTTACAATACTGTACTATATGTCAGACATCATAAAGTAATTTTTATCACTACAGTGTATGCATAATACTGTACTGTATATGTAAATTTATGTAAAAGAATCATTCAATCTAATAGTCACTTCAAATTTCATAGGTATCACAGTGAATGGTCAAGTGACTTCAAGAATTTCACACCCAAAAATGACATACTTTACGACTCTGTTCCTCCGACTGAACCAAGTTAACATTACCATTACTCCTGATCGCTTGGAAGTAGACTGTCTTGGTGATGATGGAACACCCCAGGTACTGTACTGTGTGACTAGATAATTACCTACAGTGTGCTTCTGCTTTATTTTGTTTGATAAAACTGTGTTGATCACCCAAGTGTGAAAGATAATAACTATACAGTACCAGTGTGTACGGTATATATATATATATATATATATATATATATATATATATATATATATATATATATATATATATATATATATATATATATATATATATATATATATATATATATATATATATATAAAATGTGTGTTTGTACTCGTATCTGCAGGTGACCAGCATTACAAAATCCCTCTGGCCATTCTATAAGAAAAATGGAAGAAGGTACAAGCATGGGACAGATAAGAAACTTCGCTCATCTCACAGAAAGCCAAAACAAAGGACAAGACATACTGGGCAGCGGAGACCCCATGAAGAAAAGAAAATCTCTCTTGACATTCATAGACATTACACTTACAATAGAATCACCCACTATAACTCTTACAACAGACCTAATCATTATTTTTCATATGAGAGAACCAACAACCAAAACAGCAATTTCCAGGATGATGATATTAATAGTCGTATCAGAAGGTTTAATGATGAAGCCAGCAAGTACTGCAGCCTAAACTCCACTTGGAAAGAAGGGGTTGGAAGAATGTGAGTTATCTCTCTTCATTGATAATAAATGTTAAATATTAATTTCTTTGTGACTATTAGAAATTATAATACTGTAATGGTTCATAATATGATATACTGTACAAAGTATTGATAGTTCTAAAATTAATTATTATTGAGTATTATAACTTTTCTGCTGACTTACTTTTTCTTTCAAATAAGATATGGTAATGTCCTGATTGTATTAGATAAGAAGAAGAATCTACATGTGACAATTGGTGATGGTTTGGCTCACTTCGCTGTAGTTCGTTCAAGAAACAAACTTGGACAACGTTTTCTTGGTTTCTACATCAAGGATCAACAGATTTTATCGCCCTTGACACATGGCATTATTGGTAAGATAATAAAAAGAACTCGTTGCTAATGGAAACATACAGGTTCCTTATTAATAATACATTAATGTGTCTGGGAGACTGAACAATGGAGTAAAGCAGTGTGAAGAGACAGAACCAAATGTTAGTGACTGTGCAGTTTGAAAAAATTTTCACAAGATCTTTGAATGAAGCAGAGTAAATGTTGAATGAATAGTGAGTTTTACACTAGAATAATATAACTTTCTACATGGAGTATTCCTGCCTTATTTATGGTACCTAATGGCAACCCAACTAGAGGTGGCCATGCCAAGGGAAGGAAGCCAGTGTTCTCGATTCCACAGCTTCTGGCCCTAAGAATTTTACGTCATTGTGCTTATTACCATATACGGTATATGTTTCACAGTGTCAGTTCTTAGCTTAGGAACACAGAGGTTATAGTCGTAAAGACTTAGTCAACTTGTCAGTGGATTTTATTTATATATTGTCTTAATTCCTCCCCCACTTCTTTGTGAAGTGAATCAAAGATTACTGAAACCTCAAAGAAAGGGGGAAATAATAGGGTGAGCAGTGCAAGACAAGTGTAGAAAGTGACAGGAAAGGAATAAGAAGACATAGCATATGCATCCAAAATTTATTCATAATGCTTCATTTCACTTCATTGTGCTCACCAAGTTCACTCACTGGGGTCACTCATGTTCAGTATATTACCCCGGTAGATGTAAAACTACATTGTTTACAATCCACCACCATTCTTCAGTTGTTATTATAATGTGACACCTATAAGCCTCATTAATTCACATAGGCCATCCCTGTCATTCCTAATCTTAATCACACTTTCATGCCGTCTACTGAGCTGTCATAAATCTTTCAACTTTCTGGTGCTCCATTTGGCCAAACCATCTTAGTGCACTTTAGACTCTGTAGAGACTGACATAATACATTATTCATATGTCTTCATTTGTAGCTCCATCAATCCTCCAAACTCCTATTGAAGTTTCTTAAATTACTGTACTCATCTTTGCTGCACTCAATCTTGATCTATCAATACTCTGAAGCACATGAATTTCATATAGTTATGAAAGAGTTGGAACAAGTATTCCTTCATGCAGTCTCCCTGTACACACACACACACACACACTCTGAGACTGACCTCAACTATTGCTCTGTGTCAATGTAACTGCCAATAAAACCTCACATTGCTCACCAGTGACACCATGGTTTGATTGGGTACAGACCTGACATATTACCCTCTTTGTGACATACATACAATGTACATGTGAGTAGAACTATCCTGGGGAAATTCCTGTTAGAAGTGCAGAGATTCTACTATTGATTGTGAATCACAGTCATCCATATCTTTATTGTACTGTATCCACATACAGAGTATTTGCTGTACACATACAGAACAATACACATCTATGCATTTTGAATAAATGTCTATCCTATTGAATGTAGTGTTTGTATGTCAAAACTTTCAGTTTCTTACTATCATCTTTTTATGGCCTATAGATTCTCACAAAAGATCTGCAGAATTCACCATTACTAAATGCTTCTGGGCTGAGCCTGCCATTGCTCAGAATGCACACAGTGCCTTGCAGCAGAGTGAGATGGACTCTCCATATGGAAAATGTTTTGCCACAAGCTAGATGCTTGAGCAGACTTTTCTCCCAGTCAAATCTGAATTCAGATCTGGATTTCATGATTGTCCAGGAACCAGCGAGACTTAAGATCAGGAGTCTTTGAAGTGTTTTCACATCATCTTGAAACTCAACTCAACCACATCACTCCCAAGTTCCCTACTACTAGCTAAAATGCATATTAGTATTGTCCTTACACTTTATTTTATCTTCTTTTTATTGCCTGGATCTGACCCAGATAAAGTAAAGTCGGGCGGGTCGTGTTGCGTCTCTGTAACAAAGCGTGTTCGGCATCCGGGCCTTCGATGTAGAGCGGCAGAAATTGGACAGTGATTACATAAGTTCGTCAAGATCGTCTTAGTGAGGTGAAAGTGTAAATCGATGTCGGACTTTTCATGCTAGACACGATTGTATTTTTGAAAACTCAATTTCCACCGAGTTGGAGGTACAGCCAGGGTCACAGGCCTATAACCACACAATCACTGCCACATGACAAAGCTTTTATTTTATTTTATTTTTTAGGGTGTTGTGGTCACGGCTGTGATAAAGGCCAACCAGGGAGTGTAGTACTGTGCCTTCAGTTAAATCAGTTCATAGTTGTCATCAGTGAATGCAGAAGAGACTATAATAACTTAAAGTGAATACATATTGGCAATCGAGCTGGTAAGGACAACTGCCAGCCTATTCGTGTCATAGGTGCCACAGAGACTTTAAATTTTATTTTGTTTGTGTGCTTGCTCAAGGACTGAATCTGTGTTTATAATACACCACCCACAGGGAGATACAGTGTACACAGTGATAGTTCATAGTGTCATCAGTGACCGCTGAAGTTGTAAATAACTTAAAGTGAGCGCTCACTAGCAAGCAAGCTGGAAAGGCACCGTGCCAGCTGAAACCAAGTCGTGTCATAGGTGCCACAGAGACTTTAAATTTTATTTTATGTTGATTGTGTGCTTGCTCAAGGACTGAAACTGTGCCTACAATACACCATTCACAGGGAGATACAGGGTACGCAGTCGCAGACGACAACTCCATAGGCAACAGAGAGTAGCTAAGTACTTTTTTCTCTCTTTATTTTCTTTGAAATAGGTGTAGATCTATACACAGTCTACACCCCCCCCACAACAACAACAACCATGAGTTTGGTATGTGATTACTGCAGGGAGACGTCGGATATGGAGGATGCAGGCCTAACTAATGCAACGTCTAGGAAGTTACTAACTGCCGTAAAGCTTGATGGCTGTTGCTGGTATTGCCCTGGCTGCATAGTCAAGGTGAATGAAGCGATTGCAATCCATAAGGGAACGAGTTCTCTAGGGACGAAAATAGATGAAGCAGGAGCCCTGCTGGTTGACAAACTGGAGCAAGTTGAGAAAGAGATCCTTGCTAAGACTGAGGAAGTAGCTAATAGAATGGAGGTGGTTGCTAAGAGGAGCTATGCGGACGTATTAGGAGGGCCACGGGTGGGGGGGGCGGAGAGTAATGCAGAATCAGTACAGGTTCTACAGCAGATTGGGACTCTGAAAAAGTGTGTCGAAGAAATGAAAATTAACGGACCTACTGTTAGGGGAGAGGAGGAACACCAGGAACGGCTCCAGCGCAGGAACAATGTAATAGTTTTTGGAGTCCCAGAGAGCCAGGCAGAGGGAACTGTGAGTAAGGAAACACACGACAAGGTGCTGTTTCAAAATATTTGCACAGAGGTTCTGAAGATTCCAGCAACCCCTCAGGATGTGAGGAGACTGGGACAAAAGCAGGGGGCTAAGCCTCGCCCCCTCAGGATCACATTAGGGAGTGAGGAGGAAAAATGGCAAGTTATCCGGCAGGCAAAAAACTTAGCAAGGAGCGAGGCATTTCGAGATGTATTTATTCACCCAGACCGCACGGTAATGCAGAGGGAACAGCACAAGAAGCTCCTGCTGGACTTGAAGCAGAGGAGGGAGGAGTCGAGAAGGAACGGGGACAGGTGCACATGGGTTATACTCAGGGGGAGGGTAGTGGAAACAAGTGTGCCGACACAGGGCCAGGGGGCAGCAGTGCACCCTCCACCCACTCAACCCCCCACCCGGGAGGCGGCACCAGCTCAGCCTACCGGACAGGAGGGAACGAGCGCCGTGTAAACAATGAAATTTTTAACCACACCCTGCAAAATACAGTGTACTTAGCAAATGCTGCAGCTTCTGAGAATGTGGGTGGAGCGGGTTTATTACTAAGAGCAGAGACGTTACCGAGAACAAATTCTGGCTTGAATGTCATGTACACTAATACCGACACGTTCCTTGATAAGAGGGAGGAGTTTGAAACACTACTAAGAGTACACCAACCAGATATTGTAGGAGTTGTAGAACTGTTGTACAAGAACAGGAGAATCGACCCAGAGGAATGTGAGTTCAGCATTGCTGGATATGACTCATTTACGAACCTAACTCAAGAATCCTGCAGGAGGGGTGTGGTTATCTACGCTAGGCAAGACCTTAGAGCCAGCCAGGCGAGGGTACAGGGAGAGGATGTTTTTGAAGAGTCCAAGTGGTGTAAAATTAAATTAAAGGGAGGGGACTTACTTATCGTCGGGTGTATCTACAGATCCCCGAACTGTGGCCCACTAAATCAAAGGAACTTAAGAACCTTAATAAACAATGCGGCGATGCTCAACCCCAGCCACCTCCTTATCATGGGGGACTTTAACTATGGCGACATCGACTGGAGAAACGAGTCAACCCCGAATGACTTGAATAATCCTGCTACTCTTTTTGTAGAAACTCTGAGAGATAATTTTCTGTTCCAACATGTGAGAGACCCGACACATTACAGAGGGGAGCAAACACCCAAGCCACTTGACCTCATCATAACAAACGAGGAGGGTATGGTGGCCAAACTGGAACACCTTGCCCCAGTTGGCACCAGTCACCATACAGTGTTGTCATTCAGATTTAACTGTTACCTAGTTCAAGATAAGGCCAGGCCAAGGTGCAAATATTACAAGGGAAATTACAATGGGATGAGGGAAGAGATGAGGGGTATCAACTGGCCTGACTTATTAAGGTACAAGAACGCAGACACTACGCTGAATATCATAACTAGTAAAATGACCCATTTGATCGATAAATATATACCCAAGACCAAACCCAGTGCTTCTAGGAATACGAGGGGATCCTACACATGAACCATGCGGCGGTCGACAAAATTAAGAAGAAAACCCAGAAATTCAAGACGTGGGTTGGGTCAAACGATGAGCAAGACAGGAGGATGTATGCAAGAGCCAGAAACCAAGCAAAGATAGAGTGTAGGAGGGCTGAAAAGGAGTTCCAAAGGCTGGTTGCACGCGAGGTCAAGTCAAACCCAAAGGCGTTTTACCGCTATGCAAAGTCGAAATTGAAAACGCGAGTAGGAGTATCAGACCTGAGGCTTGAAGATGGTAGTTACGCAGATTCTGACCAGGATAAAGCTGAGGCATTGAACAGCTTCTTTTCCTCAGTGTTCACAAGAGAGGATGCAACTAACCTTCCTGCGTTTGAGGACAGACGGTTCGACACAGCACTGACCCACATTGTGTTCACAGAAGAGGGTATTAGAAATAAACTGTCCAGGCTAAAGGTCCATAAGAGTCCTGGACCTGACATGGTGCATCCTAGAGTGCTAAGGGAGCTGTGCAACGAGCTTGCAGAGCCCCTGAAGATTCTGTTTTGTAAATGCCTGGATGAACAAATGGTCCCCAGTGAATGGAAAGTGGCTTATGTGAGTCCTATCTTCAAGAAGGGCGATAGGCACTCCACGAACAACTATAGACCGGTGAGCCTGACCAGCATAATATGTAAAGTACTTGAGAGTATTATCAGAGATGCAGCGATGGAACATCTACTACGAAACAACCTTGTAAAAGATTGCCAACACGGTTTTATGCCGGGGCGCTCTTGCTTGACACAATTGCTCAAGGTATTGGATATTTGGACCCATATTCTAGAACGGGGTGGTAATATCGACAATATTTACCTAGATTTTGCCAAGGCTTTCGACAGTGTACCCCACGAAAGGCTGAAAATCAAACTGGAAGGGTACGGAATTCGGGGAAATGTCCTAGCGTGGATAGAAGACTTTCTACATGACCGCAAGCAATGTGTGGTGATTAATGGCACGAAATCGTCATCTGTACCTGTAACAAGTGGGGTACCGCAGGGTAGTGTATTGGGCCCGCTGTTGTTTGTTTGTTTCATAAATGATATGCCTGACGTTGTACACTCCTCCATACAAATGTTTGCCGATGATGGCAAGTTATTTCGGGAAATTAAGAACCAAGCGGACTGTGAAGAGCTGCAGAAGGACCTCTGTGGGCTCCAGGAATGGTCGAAGGAATGGCTGCTGAGATTCAATGTCACGAAGTGTAAGAGGATGCACCTGGGGCGTACCAACGGTAAGGAGGCGTACCATATGTCCCAACGGGATGAAGAAAATGTACTAGTTGAGACTGTGTGTGAGAAGGACCTAGGTGTGTATGTTGACAATGAGCTGAAGTTCTCGGGCCATTGTGAGAAGAAGGTAAATCAGGCAAATAAATTATTGGGTCTTATAAGAAGGTCGTTCAGATATCTAGACGGTCCGTCCCTCGTGACGATCTTCAGGAGTGAAGTGCTTCCCCATCTGGAGTACTGTCACCCCATCTGGTCCCCGAGATATGCTAGGGACTGTCAGTTGGTTGAAAATGTTCAAAGGAGGGCCACCAAACTGGTGCCTGCACTTCGGCATCTCAGCTACCCTGAGAGATTGGAGCGCCTGAACTTGCCTAGCTTATACTACAGACGGGCAAGGGGGGACCTAGTTGAGGTTTATAAGCATCTCAGGGGGCACTACTCAGTTGAGTGTCCTTACTTGGAGCTGGCGGACGCTCGCCCCACAAGGGGTCACAGCTCAAGATTGAAGAAGCCGCAAGTCCGGAAAACCGTGAGGGCAAACTTTTTCGGAGTGAGGGTTGTAAACTCTTGGAACAATCTACCAGAGAGTGTTGTGACGGCACCGAGTGTGAGCTCTTTCAAGAGAAGACTTGACCAACACTGGAGCGGGTTCAGGTACATTCAGGAGCCGGTGCATGCCCAGTATTTGCCAACAGTGCGTGACAGAGACGTGACCGATCGCCCGGGCGGCTAGCGAGCCGACCTTTTGGTGAAGAATATAAAGGAAAAGAGTCGTGACCGATCGCCCAAGCGGCTAACAAGCCGATCAGTGGCGAAGAGGATAAAAGTAAAAAGTAAAAAAGATGCATCTCACAGGTCACTTATATCATCCCCCGTGCTATAAACTGAGATTTTGTGCCTCAAGGCTCCATTTTTACTACATATTATATTTTGAAGGTTAATACATATCTAATATCATAAATAAGAAGTCAGTTTATTATTAAAGATATAGTGTATACCTGTAACAATAGATTAATTTTCTTTTTAAAGGTCAATTCACCACAAAAACTGTGAAACTGATCTCACCAACCAGAATTGCAGCCAGTAGAAATAACAGCACTGAGAGCACGTAAGTACTTTTATATTCTTTCAAACTGTCCAAAATTATCAGCAGAATTTCTTTACGGTACAATGTTGTAAAGTAAAATATTTCCTCATGAGGTTCAAACCTTCTAGACTTTATGGTGGGTCTGGTGAGTACTTGGATGGGTGACCACCTGGGAACACCAACATGCTGTTAGCATAAGGATATAAGCCTCTCATGGCTTTGTTGGCTATCATTGGTCATACTGACTGGTAACAATTTTTTTTTACAGTTTGTGGCAATTTTTAAGACATGCCAACCTTCAACATTGAGTGTTACAACATGTGTTACAACATCTGAGTCACCACATGGTCATGAGGACATGCTATTATACTTATTCTGTTTAAGAGATTGGTACAGCTGTAATGCATTTGCCTCTCACCACTTGGATTAGATGTGAGATGGATGTTACTTTTACTTTTATCCTCTTTGCCACTGATTGGCTCGTTAGCCACTTGGACAGTCAGTCACATCTCTGTTACACACTGTTGGCAAGTACTGTATTGGGCATGTACTAGCTCAAGAATGTATCTGTACCTGTGCCAGTGTTGGTCAAATCTGGTCTTGAATGAGCTCACACTTGGTGCAGTCACAACACTCTCTGGCAGTTTGTTCCAAGAGTTTACAATTCTCATTCCAAAAAAGTTTGCCCTGACAATTTTCCAAACTTGTGGCTTCTTCAACCGTGAGCTGCGACCCCAAGTGAGGTGGGTGTCTGCCAGCTCCTGGTATGAACACTCAACTGAGTAATGCCCTCTGAGATGTTTATAAACTTCAATTCCCTTGCCCACCTATAGTATAAGCTAGGCAAATGCAAGCATTCTAATCTCTCTGGTTAACTGAGGTGCCATAGTGCAGGCACCAGTCTGGTGGCCCTCCTTTGGACATTTTCAATCAACTGACTGTCTCTATGTCGCTTTTTGAATAGCAACATAGCTATAAATCTATGTTTGTTAGCTATCTTCTTGCTGTTTAGGGTGATGATACTGCCTTGTGTTGCCTGTGATGTCTCCATAGTGACTGTCAATCCCATGGGAGGACTTAAAAGACATCATCTCGTAGTGTGTATCAGATAATGTTCTGTTGCCAGCATGAATCATGAGAGATGCATTATATTCATAATTGTTACCTCATCAATTGAGGTAGAAATAATATGGCATCATAATACACCTGCAATTACTATATTTGCAAATGGATGTAATATTGGATCATAGTGTTTCCTATTTCATTCTAAGTGATTCCATTGTAACCTTGGTTCATGAAAACATAGTAATGTTATATTCCTATTTGGCAACCCATCCCCTGGGGCTGAAATAGTATCTAAGGTGCATAAATCAGCGGGGTTATTCATGACGTTATTGGTTTTGCATATGGTATCACAATTCATCCTATTTTATTACATTATGTCGAGAATAGGTGACATACTGCCGATATCATAGTGATTATCAGTTGCAAGAATAAAGAACAAAATGTGTAACTCACAATCAGAAATACCAACCAAACCGAGACTGCTGTGCGCGTGTTATTGTGTTCATTTCCACATACTCCTGGCCCAGGAGGGGAGGGGGTGGGTGGGATACCTTTTTGGGAGAGTGCACACACAGCAATTGTACTCACTAGAGCCCCTTTTCTGTAACTTTGGAATCAGTGAGATTAAAGATTTCCTTATATGTAGTACAGTACAGTACAGTGAACCCTCACTTTACGCGGTCAATTGAACCCACGGCGGCCCGCGTAAAGTGAGAAACGCGTAAAGTGAACAACATAACATATGGGATTAATTGAAATAGAGACCGGGCCGACCTCCAAACTCCACTTTTTCAGACACAATACCTACGTTGTAGTAAAAATAACTTCTTAATTTTATGATGGTATGCACACACAATTAATAATTAAGAGAAATATCAATAATATTAGGGTTTTTAACACTTACATTAGTAGAAAAGATGGCTGGGCACACGGGGATGGGGGGTTGGTTCCGAGGCAGAGGGCAGATTATTGGCCCTCACCTGTATCACTTGTATCAATTGTATCACTATCCACCTCAGAGGCTTGCAGGGCCTCTTTGTCAAACCCCTCAAAGTCCATATAAGTCCATATCCTCACTATCATAATCACTATCACTGACTTGGGCCGGCTGTGGTGGGTGACGGGTGAAGAACTCGGTAATGTTTTGATGACTGGGCGACCTTGTGCGCACCCTGCTCGCGCCGCTCTCCGCGTAAATGGGTACACACACCGCGGAAAGTGAGCATTCCGTGTTCGGCAGGGTACCGCGTAAACGTGGAAACGCGTAAAGTGGAACCGCGTAAAGCGAGGGTTGACTGTATGTGTTTTAACAGCATTTTGTCTTCAGTTTAATTATTGTGTATTTACTTCACCTCATGAAAACCAGAAGAGAACATCAAGACTGGCCACATATATCATCTCATCATGGTGTAGAGAACAATAGTCGTCATCTTTGACGAGTTTGATTAACTGGTTTTCTACGTCTTGAAGTAATGAATTTGAGAATGAAACGGATTTAGCTATATTCAATTGTTTTTCTCCAAGCATACATGAAACAGTATCTTGTATACAGTTTTAATAAGATTTTCCCCAATTACATGAGTCTTATCTGAACAGGCAATATGATTGCTCACTTTGCATGACACTTCCCATACATTTTCATATGCTCCCTTTGCAACCTACTAAATTTTAGAGTAATTATGACCACATACTTTACCTTAAAACAATCTCTGCTTTAAAAAAAATAATTTATGTTTCCAGGGTAAAAGTGGCAGTAAACAGGCGCAACAGGAGGAACAAATACAGGCCATCTGAAGTGTCTGGTATTTTAAGTAAGCGTCACTCTCTCCTGGACCAAACTAATGTGGACTGCATCCACATCAGAGGCAATGGAAAGGGACTCCTGGATGGTCAACCCAGAGACTACTTATTGAATTGTCTTCATTGCTGAACAAGAAAATCATAGATTCTCATGTCTTCTATGAAAGAAGAACAGAGAACTGCAAGCGGTTTTAAGCTTATGCTCAGCACTGGAGCATCACCCTGCATTGTCTTCTGAGAAATTGAAAAAAATCTTGTGCTAGACAACATACACCAATTGGTGATATAAATCATGGAATAATTTCATCAGCTGCCTCCTTCAGGTAACATTATTATTTAACATTAAAATTTGTACAGCAAATTATGTATCATGAATATTCCTTTGCTTTCCTGTAGAAAAATGGGAGCTTGTACTTTCAATTGAAATCATAAAAAAATGCTCTATTATTAATCAGGATCTCTATCATCATTGTAAAAATTTTATTGTATTTTGTATCTATGCATGAGAGCTGTTATTTTGCTTACATTATTACTGTATCCAGTAAAAATGCTGACTTGAATAAAAGGTGTCCAATTATTTTTAAATAGGAAAATAGCAGTAGTGTAGTGATGAGAAACATAAACAGTAAGTTCTGATACAGTACAGTACAGTACAGCACAGTACAGTGGTAATGAGCATAACTCTCACCAATATGTCAAGGGTTCGAGCCTCGGCCCGGACACACATGAGAAGGATGGTATCCAGTGTGACCCTACCAGACACTACATGTTTCCCGATCCCCGATTTCCTCCTTTACTAACACGGGATAAACCACCCAAACGGCTAGTAAGCTGATATGTGGCAGATATGATAAAAATAAATAAATAACCAGTCACAGTGATATATAAAAACATATATCTTGGTACAGTATATAATTTTTAGATATTCAGCAAAAGGTACTCCTGTATATTATAGGTCAGTTGGCCTCTGCTACCCTTGGTAGCACTCAGATCGCTTGTTGTGTACAATACCAAAAATCTTCAGAGACCGCATATTCCTTGAAATCTTATTGTTTTATTATACTGTAATTTTTTTATTACTGTGGCATTTATTTTCCCATTATTATATGCCTCATTACTTGTACAGTACGTACTTCCCCAAGTGAGTATGTAATTCCTGAATCAACTCTTATTCATGGGTGATGTATGTCTTTTATTACTGTAATCACAGCAAATGATACATGCATAATATTCCTCAACAGTAAGCTGCTGATGTACTATAACTCATATTGTACTGTATTATATAAAGAACCCCATCACCACTACCTTCACCCTGGCTCTAGGTACCAACATAAAGTAAAGAAAAATTGTGGACAGTAATGTTAGTGTACTGTTTACAGCCTATCATTTGCAGGAAAGTAATTAGGCCCAGAAGAAGAAGTCTTGTAGAAAACCATGTAGTTAGCGCAATTGTTTCCAAAATACAATGTGGACAACTTTGTGGAGTGGTGTGGATATACAGTACATTTCAGCCAAATTACACATACAGTATTGTCTTATAGATCTAACCTAAGAGTTTGTCTAAGGGATTTTTATCCTATTTTTAAGAAAAAGAAAATACATACCAAGCTGTAGTCAAATTGTACTCCCTTTAAATTTTGTAATACATTTGTAAATACAATACATATACCCTGTATACAATACAACAGTCACATACACTAAGAATGAAAATAAGTTTTGTTTTCACTCCACAACTACTCTTATATATTCTCACTTATGATTTTATCCATAACATGTAAGACGGCATTCAGGAGATGAGTACAAATGATACAGCAACCTTGGTAGGCTACTGTACTTGTTACTATCCTGTATGTCATATTTATGGAGAGCCTCGCTTGTAAATTGTTGTCACAGTACATAATTGTTTTTCCTCTCCTTTATGCTGTAAACAAGTTACTATAATTTCAAAAGGGTTTAGCATTTATTCAGCAAATTTGTGTACTGTATTATATAAAACAATGTTGATATCAAGTGTTGCTGTTGTACAAAATAGGATATTACCCGAGCTTACTTTTCTCATGAATTTCTGGAAATTTTAGTTTCCAGTACAGTACAACTAGTGAAGAAATTATATGCCAAATCTTTTTTACTCACAGTAGTTAAGTTTTATATGGGGTGTTTACTTCAGATACTACTGATAATTTGGGGCTGTCAGAGTTTTTGTAATGAAAGACTTAATTCTGTCTTGGAAATTGTATGCCCCATTTCTAAATCTTTATTATTTGTACATTTATCTCACAATCAAGTCAGTAATGGGGTGAAGGCAAGGATTTAAATGATATCAAAAGGTGAGTTATCCGTCAGAAATGCTAAAGATGCAGGGCCGGCGCCAGGGTATTCAACACCCTAGGCAATATGTACAGTATATTTGCACCCCACACCCATTTTTCCCAGTCTTATAATCCTCCAAAAGTAAAATTATAATGCAATATTTTCTCTGCAAGATATTTATTCATGAAAAAAGACATAAAAGTAGCAACTACTCTGTGAATTACATGTTCCTTGTACAGATTCACTTTTTGTGCCTTTATATTTACAAATTTGCTAATCAGATCCTGGGTATCAAGCTTTTGGGCAATTTCTTGCTCTATAGATACAGTTGCTAATCCAACAAGCCTTTCTTGGACCAGTTGTGGATGATAAGTCTTTATCAATTTTGGTTTTGAAAAACTTCCCTCACCATTTGCAACAGTAACAGGCAGAGTCAGAAGAATATGGAGGACAATAAATGTGTTGAAAACACTGTCATTCAGCTTATTTTCACAAATGAACTTCAACACTGCTTGCTGTGTCATAGATTGTGGTAGGCACCAAGCGATGGCCTGAAGTTCACCACACAATATCTTCAGCAGCCTCAATATCTTTAGATTCATCATGCTGCAAAGTTGATTCAAGCTTTATGCAGTAATTCATCATTCATGAGTAGCGAGGTCGGGAGTATCTGCTGAACTGTAGTGTGTAAACATAGTGATGTCACATCACTGAACTGTTCATTATTAAGTAAAATTTCCCCACTTACTTAACAATGGATGTTTGATTCATTACTTGTACTGTATTTATATTTTAAATTTAGGCATAATATATTATTCACCACTTTAAATTTATAAAAGCTGTCTTCTGTTTGCATGTTCAGATTGTTCAGATTTTATGATTGACATATACAATTGACATATACTTGTATACAATATATGCCAGTATATGCAGTACTGTATGCAGAATATTCTTATTTTTTCTAGCCAATTTTTGCACCCCCAAAATTCTTGCACTCTAGGAGACTGCCTAGTTAGCCTAATGGTAGAACCGGCCCTGTTAAGATGAATTACAAACACAATCATTTCTTAGAAATTTACCTCATCAAATAAAATATACTATCATATATATTTTATGTAATTAATTAATTGGCCTTTTGACAACTATGGTCATAATGCCTTATACTAAAGTATTGATATCATTTATCATATTATATAATGTATTGTATTTAACATTCATCAAATGTACCATATTTAACTTCACCTCTAACTAATTTCATTCATTAAATGTAATTAACTTCACATTCTACAGGTACTGTACTAGTGTACTTGAACTATATGTTTATTGTTAATATCATTTATAAAACACTCAAGGTCTACCAGTAATATCTCCATTAGTCAGAATCCCTTTTACCCAGAATTCTCCAATTGACGGAATTGAAAGTTGCTCGGAATTTTTCGGAATGACTTTTCCGGCTTTGAGAGAGTAGTCTCGTAACCTGGAAATCTCTCATTCCCGGAGGTGCTCTGCACCATTTGTTCCGGCTAACAGAGATATTACTGTATCTTAATGCTTGGTATTGAACCTTGATTATCATGTGTTTTTCTTATGTATGCACTTTTGAGTAATAGAACAATGTAATTTATGAGATCAGGTAAGACATTATATAATATATTACATACTATATTTGTTTATTTTTTCCTTTAATCCACTAGGTTGTATAGTATTATACAGGGTGTTTTGGAAATACATTTTATAATTCAGTGGGTGTATTCCTGATACATATATAAGGATAAATGACTCCATGATCACAGGTCAACATCTGTAAAATTGTGTGATCTTCAGTACATGAGACGTAGGACCCTGACAGAGGATCCTTTGAGACTATGGGTGAGGGACTGGAGGGTTCTCGTTCATTGGCGGCACTGGGAGATAACATGGGTGGCTACAGCGGAGGTGGTGACTCTGGTAGTGGCACACACGGGTAGACCCAGGTACCTGTTTGTGTGTATTTGTTCAATGTCTTGTCCTTGCAGAGTCAGCGGTGTCTGATGCTGGAAGTGCAAGATGAACTTGGTTTTAGTGTGTGAGATGACTAGCCCAAGTGTTTGACAGGTCTGGGCGAATGTGGAGAGTACAGATTGTTCATGTTGCACTGTAGTAATTTGGAGAAGATCGTCAGTGTAACTGATGATGTGTCCGTCTAGAGCGAGCTCAGCAAAAATGTCATTGAGGCAGCAGATGGAGTTCATGAGAACATTAAAGAGTGTAGGGCTGAGGACACTACCCTGAGGCATGCCAAGATGAAGGGTCCTGAAAACGGACACGGGCCTGTCGATGGGAGAGGTAGTCAGCAATCCGCGTGAAGAAATTTGCCCTTGACATCAATGTGCGTTTATCAAATGCTCCCTTGAAGTCGACAAAGAGGGAGGTTTTGGCTGAGGTGTTCGCCATGGAGTGAGCGATGCAGTGAGCAGTACTCTTCCTAGGGCGAAACCCACAGAGGTTGGGGTGCAGGTAGGCTTCAATTTCCCAGTGGAGGCAGTGGTGAATCAAGCGTTCCATCAACTTTGAGAAGCAGAAGATGAGGGAAATTGGACGATATTTGTCTTGTCTGACTGGTTTAGGGACTGGGGTGGTGGTGGTGGCAGTCACATATGATGTGTTAAATGCCCTTGTTGCAACCCCTGGTGATCCCCTCCTCTGTCTACCAACCTTTCTTATGATACGACAGACATACCCTCAATGGAGGAAGAACCCAGAGAGTAACTCCGACGAGACATCTAACCCCAACCTAACACCCCCCAACGCAGACTGGCACCTCCCCATCACACCAGCACCAACACAAATCACGTTCACGATCTGTTTCTGCCACACGCAAAACAAAATCACATTTAAGAAACACAAACAAAACAACACCAAAACAGCAAAAAACACAAAAATAATGATACACACAAGCATACACAAACATGATCATCATAATGCAATTCATTTGCAGAACATTCTTATCAAACAAACACATCATATATCTCCTTCAAGAACACGACCCAGACATTATCCTCAACTCAACTTACACAAACACAAAAATAAAACACTTTGTCAACACAGACACCTCACGAACAACAAGAGTGTGTAGCAATCTTCGTCAGCTCATCTATCAGACACAAACTCATCACCGATTTCACCTTCAAACACTTCATGGCAGCCAAGATTGAAACTGATCACGGACAGATAATTATCATTTGCCTAATATACACAAAGCCAAAAACATACATTCACTTCACAGGTGTAACACAATTAGTAAGACACAAACCAGGACTAGACCATCTCACAGACAAATCATACAGGGAACTCGAACAGGTCACAAACACTGGGAACTTGAATGGTGACTACAAACAAACAGTGTCAGGAGTCAAATTCGACGACACCCTCACCATGAACTACCACATCAAGACAAAATTAGAGATCGCAAACAAGACACTCTCAAACATGTACAGATTCAGAACAGCATCAATCAAAACAAAATCACACCTATACAATGCCCTCATACGCCCACTGCTGACATACACACCCATCACTCCAGTTAGCAGCACCAACCAACAATAAGAAACTGCAGATCATACAAAATAAATCACTTCTGTTCATACACAACACACACTGGACATACTTCACCACAAACGAACATCTATAAGAACACAACTTGCCAAGGCTTTCGACAGTGTACCCCACGAAAGGCTGAAAATCAAACTGGAAGGGTACGGAATTCGGGGAAATGTCCTAGCGTGGATAGAAGACTTTCTACATGACCGCAAGCAATGTGTGGTGATTAATGGCACGAAATCGTCATCTGTACCTGTAACAAGTGGGGTACCGCAGGGTAGTGTATTGGGCCCGCTGTTGTTTGTTTGTTTCATAAATGATATGCCTGACGTTGTACACTCCTCCATACAAATGTTTGCCGATGACGCCAAGTTATTTCGGGAAATTAAGAACCAAGCGGACTGTGAAGAGCTGCAGAAGGACCTCTGTGGGCTCCAGGAATGGTCGAAGGAATGGCTGCTGAGATTCAATGTCACGAAGTGTAAGAGGATGCACCTGGGGCGTACCAACGGTAAGGAGGCGTACCATATGTCCCAACGGGATGAAGAAATGTACTAGTTGAGACTGTGTGTGAGAAGGACCTAGGTGTGTATGTTGACAATGAGCTGAAGTTCTCGGGCCATTGTGAGAAGAAGGTAAATCAGGCAAATAAATTATTGGGTCTTATAAGAAGGTCGTTCAGATATCTAGACGGTCCGTCCCTCGTGACGATCTTCAGGAGTGAAGTGCTTCCCCATCTGGAGTACTGTCACCCCATCTGGTCCCCGAGATATGCTAGGGACTGTCAGTTGGTTGAAAATGTTCAAAGGAGGGCCACCAAGCTGGTGCCTGCACTTCGGCATCTCAGCTACCCTGCGAGATTGGAGCGCCTGAACTTGCCTAGCTTATACTACAGACGGGCAAGGGGGACCTAGTTGAGGTTTATAAGCATCTCAGGGGGCACTACTCAGTTGAGTGTCCTTACTTGGAGCTGGCGGACGCTCGCCCCACAAGGGGTCACAGCTCAAGATTGAAGAAGCTGCAAGTCCGGAAAACCGTGAGGGCAAACTTTTTCGGAGTGAGGGTTGTAAACTCTTGGAACAATCTACCAGAAAGTGTTGTGACGGCACCGAGTGTGAGCTCTTTCAAGAGAAGACTTGACCAACACTGGAGCGGGTTCAGGTACATTCAGGAGCCGGTGCATGCCCAGTATTTGCCAACAGTGCGTGACAGAGACGTGACCGATCGCCCGGGAGGCTAGCGAGCCGACCTTTTGGTGAAGAATATAAAGGAAAAGAGTCGTGACCGATCGCCCAAGCGGCTAACAAGCCGATCAGTGGCGAAGAGGATAAAAGTAAAAAAGTAAAAGACAACTCCATTCCAGTACAGCGGTAACGCGCAATAACTCTCGCCAATATGTCAAGGGTTCGAGCCTCGGCCTGTACACACGTGAGAAGGGTGTTATCCAGTGTGACCCTACCAAACACCACAAGTTTCCGTCCCCGGTTTCCTCCTGTACTAACACTGGATTGAGCGCCCAAACGGCTAGTAAGCTGATAAGTGGCGAATATGCTACAAAAAAAATTCAATCAACATCTACCGAGACAATTAGGCGACAAACAAATAAAAAATCTCCTAACCACACACCCACACTGGCAGGGATACGTTGACAATATTATATTCCCATACAGACACAGGAACCCCTCCATACTAAACAGACCCAACACACCATACCCACCTCATCTATACTAAAACACGGGATCGGAGACACGGCCAATATGCATCCTCTTACACTTCGTGACATTGAATCATGACAGCCATTTCTTCGACCATTCTTGCAGCTGGCAGAGATCTTTCTGTAGCTCTTCACAGTCCGTTTGGTTCTTAATTTCCCTAAATAGCTTGGCATCGTCCGCAAACATTTGTATGGAGTATATAACTTCTGGTAGGATATTTATGAAACAAACAAACAACAACGGGCCCAGTACACTGCCCTGTGGTACCCCACTTGTCATGGGTACACAGGATGATTTCGTGTCATTAATCACCACACACTGCTTGCGGTCGGGAAACTTCATAGAAGTGTCTTAAAATTGTCTAAACCAGCAGAAAAACACAATGCTCAAATCGAGTCATATTGGTTAAAAATGCAAATTTACTCAATTTTGTTTTTTTATGGAGATATTTTAATGGTCTAAATTGCCATCTAGGGAAGGTTTGGTTTGGTGATGCTAGGTTAGGAAGTAATGATAGGCTAGGTTTGGTTATAGAGCATAATAATATGTTATGGTAAAGAAAATGATCTCTAGTTTCTACCAAAACAAAACAATTTTCATTCAAAAAAAAATGTCAGACGCACTTGTAAATATTTACCCTGTAAAATTTTAGTTTCGGTCATCCCTGTGTTTAGACATCCAAACTAACCTAACCTAATGTAACCTAATCTAACCTAGCCACAGAATCCAGGAACTATATCTCCCCCGACACCCCCCTTTCTGGTTGGGGACTTGGCCCCGAATGACCGAAACTAAAATGACCATCCAAAATAATACCCATTTACCATAAGTTTCAGCCAGAACTCGATCATTTTGAATATATAATACATTACTAAATCTACCAACCTTTATTGTTGAGAAGATTCATTGCCAGCATTGAGTGTTTCACATCAGAAATCCTTGAACGTTGATAACTGGTAGATTTATATCGGGTATTCGCCAAATCACGACCCAATAATTCACATTTTATAAGTGTGCTCTACTCGTTGCACCCACATATCTTTTTTTCTGCTTTGAAAATAACTGATATTTTGGAATAGCGTCTCACTTTGAAGTACACCCAAACACGACACTCTTGCTCGCTCCATCAGTAACTTAGTCATTACTAGTTCATATTTTTTTCATTGGTACAGCTACAAGTTCTATTTTCAGTTGTACAGTAGTCACCACTCACTACATTATAAAAAAAATAACTAGTTTTTCACCCAAATACACTGTTTGTAACAGCTTTAAACGTGAACATTTGTGCACAGTATCACTGTTTACATAAGGAATATTCGAGACGGTAGTTTCGGAACTTGGTAACTTCGGAAATTCGGACCGGTAAG